TGGCTTCCTAAAGCTCAACTATGACCATGAGGCTCTCCCCTGTGGATGCCCGCCTCCCTGGACACCGCCCAGCATTCCCAGCCCGGGGCGCGCTCCCCACCCTGCGCCCCTGCTCACCGTAGACGTGGAAGCCCAGCACGCAGGTGTAGGTGGCCCACTCCCGGTCCCGGCTCTCGTAGCGATTCCTCAGCAGCTTGCAGCCTTCGCCCACGTTCCCTGGGGAGAGGGCGCCCACCCAGCTCAGCCCTCACCCGGCCCGCAGAGGGGAAGCGGCTGGGAAGCCAGGTTGGAAAGACTGACACGGGAGGCCGTGGCATGTGATCTGGTCACCGCAGCAGCCTCGGCCCCGGGCAAACCCCAGCCCGGTGCAGCCTCAGCGCTCAGAAGGTTTCTCCCAGTTCCTCCTCCCTGGGCACCGCAGTCCCGCCACACCTGCCCTGAGGAACTTGTCCGAAACAACCTTTTCTTAGGATATTTTTCAACTCCCTCAAATCCTTGTGGGGAAAAGATGGTATAAAACTGCGTGTTTACCCTAACTAACCGGTTTGGCTCAGTGGATAGAGCTTCAGCCTGTGGACTGAAGGGCCCCAGGTTCGATTCTGGTCAAGGGCATGTACCTTGGTTGCGGACACATCCCCAGTGTGGGGTGTGCAGGGTGTGCAGGAGGCAACTGATCGATGTTTCTCTCTCATCGATGTTTCTAACTCTCCATCCCTCTCCCTTCCTCTCTGTAAAAAGTCAATAAAATATATTTTTTAAAAAACTGCGTGTTTTTTTCCAAATTAGTTACTCCTATGTGTATAATCCTGACTCCAACCCCATCTCCACGTCCCCATCTGACAGCCCCTCCTCCTGGAGCCCCCCACATATCCTTCACCCTCCCCACCCCCCACAACCAGGAGCCTTCACACACACACAGAGCCCACCCCAAGGACCCTCTCCCCATGCCCACCCTATTGCCACTCACAGTAAAGGATCTCATAGTCCCCAGAATTGGACATGATGAAGTTCCCATCCTTGGACCAGTCAAGGTGAGTAATAAAGCTCGAGTGACCCTGGGAGCAAGGGTCAAGAGACTAAAAATGGAGCCCCAGTTCCCTGTCCCCTAGCCCCCCTAAGTGCCTTGGGCCCTTTGAGGAGTTTCCCTGCTATGGCGATGCCCCACCCACCACCCCAGCTTTCTCACCACACAGCGGCCAAAGCGGCTGGACTTGGCACCATCGCTGGAAACACTATAGATGTAGATCATGTTGTCATGGGAACCAATGGCCAGGTGTAACCCATCTACAAAGACAGTCACTCAGACAGGGAAGGGCCAGGGCCGGGTCTGGGTCCGGGGCGGGGGTGGCTCCCACCTGGGCTGTACCGGACCACGGAGAGCTGCTCATTGCCATCAGTGACGTCAGACACGATCTCTCTGGTCTCCGTATCCAAAACCAGCCACCTGGAAGGGCGTGTCGGGAAGCAGGTGTGAGGATACCCATCCTGGGCAGCACGCTGACACGTCGGAGAGACTCCGAGACGCCCAGAGGAAAGCTGTGAGGCAGGCAGAAAGGCCCCACTGCGTTCTTTCCCCCCCCCTTTTTTTTTTATTTTTAATCCTCACCAGAGGATATTTTCCCACTGGTTTTCAGAGAGTGGAAGGGAAGGAGGTGGGGGGAGAAACATCAATGTGAGAGAGACACATCGATCGGTTGCCTCCTGAATGCAGCGAAACAGGACGGGGCCGGGGATCGAACCTGCAACCCAAGTACACGCCCTTGACTAGGAATCGAACCCACGACCCTTAGGTGCACAAGCGATGCTCTAACCACTGAGCAGCACCGGCCAGGGCCCCACTGCATTCTTACACTGGGAAATGGGAAGGGAGCCACGGGCAGATAAGAACTGAGGGGCTTCTGATGTCGTGGGAGAAAGGAAAAGGGCTGGACTGCAAGGGCCTTGGGGAATCTGTAGGCCCGTCACTCTTCGCCTCCCCTCTGCCCTCCCATCTCCGCAGCTTCCCTCTGCTGAGCTGCCACCTCCTCCATCCCGGCTGGAAGGGAAGGTGGGTGGGGGAGGGCGCGATGGCAGTTGCCACCGGAGACGGAGGCCCAGGCTGCAGGGAGAAGCACCGAGGAACAGGAAGGTGCAGTTGGGGCTTGGAGCAGCCAGTGGTCACGCTGCTTCACACACACACACACACACACACACACACACACGCCATCACCAGGAACCCTCCCTACACCCCCTGCTCCCCCTGGTCCCTCTCACCTCCCCGTGTTCAGTCCCACAGCCACCACCGCCCCGCTGGGGTGGAAGTCAGCACAGAGGCCCGTCTCCTGGGAGGGAGAAAAGGTGAATTCAAGACGCCTTTCTAGTGAGGGATCCAAGACAGACGCCTCATCACTCCAAGGAGGGGCAGGAAGGACAGGGCGGTGGGCCTGGAGTGCAGGCGGTGTGTGCGGGCAGAGCCTCAACGAGGCAATATTCAAAATGCTGAACCCCCAGAACTGAGAGCTGGGTGGGAGAGTAACCGTCAGTTGCTGGGGGGGGCGGGGGCGGGTACTGGAGGCATCAGGACAGAAGAAGGAACATTTAGCAGCCACACCAGTACAAACCGGCTGCCTCCGGGGAGCAGAAGGAAAGGGGATACTGAGGAAGGCGTGGGGGCCACAGGAGTCACGGCAGGGGTGGCACTGGGGACCCGAGCTCTACCTTGAGGTCGATGCTCCAGGCCAGCGCGTGGCCCTCCCCGTCCCACAGGCAGAGCTGCCTGTCGTGGCCGCAGGTGAGGAAGCGGTTCTGGAAGGGGTGTGTGCACAGCCCCCAGAGCTCGTCCGTGTGGCCCTGCAGCAGAGCATGCGCCATCACCTCCGCCCTCCCGGCAGCTCTGCCCTCCCAAGAACACAGGGGAGAAGCCCTGGGCCAGATCTCCTCGCAGCAACGCATTCTTGGTGGTTCCCACCAGCAGCTCAGAGCCCAGCCGCTCCGCGATGGCCCGCACAGCCCCGAAGTGTTCAGGAATCTGCAGTGGTGGCAGGAAGTCAGGGGGCACTGGCCATTCCTCTCCCCCCTCCCTCCCTCCACTCAGCCCAGCCCTCACCTCAGCTTCCTGGAGGGCCACCAAACCAGGCCCCCACTGCACCAGCCGCCGGTCCCGCCCGCCGCCACTCAGCACGGTCCCGTCCCGCCGGAGACACAGGGCGAAGATGGAACCTTCATGAGCATGGGCCTGAGCCACAATCCCGTAGGTCTCTGTTGGCACAGCCCTGGGCAGGTCAGGCTCTCGGGTGCAGGGAAGTGGGGAAGGGACAGTAGGCAGTCACAACAGAGCAGAACCCCAGCTGCCTGAGGCCTGCTGGTTATCGGCTCTGACCCGGGCTCTGGTTCTTCCCAGTTTACAGACTGGACAACTGAGACTCAAAGAACTGAAGTCACTTCCTCAAGGCCAGACCATTAGTGGCAACACTGGGATCTGAACCCAGGACCCGGCAGGCCCCAAAGCCCCAGTCCTTTACTCTCTGCCATGCTGCCCCTACCTTTCTCCGCGGTCCCCCAGAGAACTACCCTCTCACAGTAAAAAAAAAAAAAAAAAATGGGGGGGCAACCCTCTTCTCTGTTCCCATAAGCCTTCTAGGGGGCTAGACTTCCCAGATGCCACCCAGCCACATACCTTTGGCTCCGCCCCTGCCTGGAGTCTTGGAATCTGAGAGGCTCCGCCCCCAGGTGAGAATGTTCCCCTCCGAGTCCCCAGTGAGGATGTCTCCATCCGGGAGGAACACAAAGCAAGGGATGAACTTGGGTTTCTTGTATTTCTAGGGGAGAGGTGAGGCCACAGGGGAGGGCAAAGACCAAAGGTCACAGGGCAGCCGGGAGGTGAGTAGCACCGGGGTCTCCAGTCCTCCGACCACTACTTCCATCTCCATCTGCCCTCCCCCCGCCCTGCACCCATCCACACCTCACCCCAAAGACACCCTGTTTCCGCGTGAGGGTCCCATTCCCGGGGACCCCCGCTGCACCGCTCCAGTTCCAGAAGTGCACGTGAGATTTCCCGCTGGTGACAATGCAGCTGCTGTCACGAGGGCTGAAGCCAACAGCCAGGACCGAGTCATTTGTGCTCTGAAGAGAGGACACTGGATTCAGCCACCTCCAGCCCTTGGCACCCTCATCCCATTGACTTCCTCTGCATCCTGACTGTGCGTCTGCAGGGATCCAGAAGCCCCGGGGCACCCTTCCGTCCACCCCTGGGCCCCGAAGAGCAACTGCTCCTGATTAGTCACCCGCCTGCCTGGCATGATCTCCTGTGAGGCCAGAACTTCTGCAGTCCCCACTGCTCAGCCTCTCAGAGGCTGGGAGGCGGGCCCAGGCGACAGCCAGAAAGGAAGTAACAGGTGGGTAAGCCTGGACTCTTGGGGCCCACCGCCCCCACCTCCCAACCCCAACCGGCGGTGCCTGCAGGCCACCCAGCCCCTCACCTTGATCTCAGCCAGCTTCGTGCCGCGGCCGCAGTCCCACACGGACAGCATGTGCTCGTTGGAATCGTCCACCACGCAGAGAAACGCACCCTGGTCCTGAGGGTGGGGACAGGGGGGAGGGGCTGAGTGAGGACCAGAGGGCTGGGAGTCACGGTCATTGGGCAGCTCACACCATCACACGTGGGGAGGGGAGGAGAAGCGGACACACGTCCCTTTCTCAGGAGAACCGGCTGGGCAAGGGTCAGGCAGGCCAGGACGTCTGAGACTTCCTGGTGAAGTGCGAGAAGGGGGTTCCCGGAGAAGAAAGATGGGGGCCTGGAGGCTTCGGGCCAGCTCACCACCACTGAAAAGGCCAGGGCCCCCACGCCCCGCTCGAAGGCCCCCAGTCCTATCTCCTGCAGCTTCAGCAGCGTCTCCGAGTCCCACACGTGAACCACAGGCTGCAGGGGCTGGAGCGGGAGAAGGGGTCAGGCGGGGGGAGGAGAGCTGGGCGAGAGGTTCCTCCTGCCCGCCTGGGTTCGAGTTTGGCCTTACCTTCCCATCCTTATCCACTCCAGCTGTCTGTCCTGAGGCGACGCGAACACCATCAGGGTGGACGGCCAGGCTACGTGGGGGAGCGGATGCTCTAAGGAAGGGGGTGGTCTCTCAAGACCACCCAGGCCGCCTCTCCAGGCTTGCCGAGCAGCAAGGCAACGCCTCCCTCCTGCTCCTCCACACCGGCCCAGGCCCCGTCTGCCACGCCCAGCACCCCCATGCCTGGAGCTGCCCACTCCCGGGCCCCGGCCCCTCACCATCGAACGCAGTCCGTGTGGCCCCGGTAATGTCTCTGGCCGCCACCTCCAGGACCCCCTGGGCCTCCCCCAGGCCGGTACAGCACCACCACACAGGCGATAAAGTAGACCACCTCCCCAGAACGCAGCACAAACAGATTAGAGCGGGAGTCACGACCCCTGTACCCGTAACTGGAGTGGGCATCGCGGTCAAGGAAAGGGTCAGACCAAGGGCAGGAGGAGGAAGAGAGGAGAGCAGAGCTTCTGGCTGGCCGTGCTACCGGCAGAGGATGGTAAGAGAGGATTCTGGGGTTCCCATCCCTGCAGAGCCAGGAGGAAACCATAAACGGGGGGGTGGGGGTCCCAAGATGGGAAAGATGGTTCCCATGGGCCTGGAGGGGGCAGGATACACCCAGTCAAGGCTGAGGGTCTCCGGGGGCGGGCCGCTGGGCAGCTCCTCAAGGCTGCGGATGCCAGATGGGATGTACATGGTAATTGGGCGGCCGCGAAGGAACATCTTCACTGAGATGCCTTCTACAGAGAGAAGGGGGGTGTCAACCACCACCCTGCAGCCCCCCTCCAGGAAAGCCAGAGCAGAATTCTACCCACCAGACCGCACAGGTCGCCCCAAAGTAGCTCTTTGGGGCTCTAGCCCAAACCCTAACACTTTCATCCAGATTCTTCCAGATGCTTCTGCACTTACCCAAATTGTAGTTGTTCCTCCGAGATCCCGGACCCCCAGGGCTGGAGAGGGGGTCTTTCCCGCCTCGGCTGTTGGGAAGACAGAAAAGGATAGGGTTTGGGGTCAGGTCCCGAGATATACGTGCAAAAGGGCCGAGCACAGAAGGGAGGCTACTTGCGGCCACAGTCACCCCCGCAGTCAAGTCTGCGTTCCGGGCATCCAGGCCCTAGAGTAGGCGGGACTTCCGGCTCCATCTCAGACACAAGCCGTGAGGCTGGGGGCCGAGCGCATGGCACCAGGCCATAAAGCTTGCAAGACGCAACGCGGAGTGACAGGGAGGAGCCCTTTCCTCCAGACCCGTGCTCGGCAAACTGCGGCTCGCGAGCCACATGCAGCTCTTTGGCCCCTTGAGTGTGGCCACGAAGTTTCAATCGCACTGTACGTGCGCGCCTGCACGTGGTATTTTGTGGAAGAGCCACACTCAAGGGGTGCTCAACCAATGAGTCATGCTGGCAGGGCAACATTGCCTCTTTATGCTATTTATGTACCAAAAACTTAGCAGAAATCGGTATTTTGTGGAAGAGCCACACTCAAGGGGCCAAAGAGCCGCATGTGGCTCGCGAGCGCAGTTTGCCGACCGACCACTGCTCCAGACCATCAGGCCTCTGGCTATGGAGCTTCTCATGTCCCCATCCAAGAAATGGGACAAAAATGAATCCAGAATGTGCCCCAGGCCTGCCCTTCGGGAGGTAAGCAAGAAAGCCCTTATCTCTCAGGAGGAAAGTAACAGAATTCCAGAGATCACCGTCACAGGTGATAATAGGTGGTGATGCCTCTGAGAGAAGGAAGGAGACCAAGGGCAGGGCTGGAATGACCACTCCCTGTCCCGAGGCCTGTCCACGCTCTGTGACAGCTACGCTCAACCTCGGGGACTTGCCTGTGCTCTAACAGTCGAGTCTGGTAAATTGGAGGAAGGGGAGGGGCTGAAACTCTGAGAAGAGTCACCCATGAAAATCATGGAAGCTTCTGGAAGAGCCTCTTGGCACCTCAAGAGGTGAACAGTGATGAGGAGGAAAGGGCAAGGGACTGGAGTCAGGAAGAGTTGCATTGGAGCCCTGCCTCTAGCTGTGTGACCCCAGACAGATGACTTACCCTCTCTGAGCCCGCTTCCTCACCTGGACAGTGACCAGCATGAGACCACCTACCCCCCAAGGATGTCGTGGGACTGAATGAGATGGAGGAGGTCGAGGACTTAGCACAGTGCCCGGAACACAGCCGGCCCCCACGCGTGCTGGTTCCCTTCTTCCTGTTGGGCAATGAGGCCCCCCCCACCCCACCCAGGGAAGCGAGTGAGGGACGAGGAAAGTCAAGAGCCTGGGCCTGGGGTGGGGCAGGTTGGGGAGCCTCGCCCACCTCTCTGTGCTCCCTGACCGCAATAACAGGTTGGCCGAGGACGCTGCCTTCCGGGAGAGCTTCTGTCGAGGCCGTTCTGAGGGCGATGAAGAGGAATTTCTCCGCGCCCTGGGAGGAGCAGTGAGCAGGTGAAGGTCATCCCCTCTAACCATGCTCCCCAGTCCTCTCCCGCCACCCCCCTCCCGCCTCGGCCACAAGACACTCACGTGTCGGTGCACTGGGGGGGCTGTACAAGCCTGAGGATGCCCGGAGAGCCCGTGCCCCCCGGGGAGCCAGCACCCCGGGGGGAGCCAGTGCCACTGCTGCTGCTGCCCCCTCCTTCAGACTGGGTTCCACTAGGCTCTTCACTGCCCCCCTGAGGGGCCGCGGGCCCATTGCTCAGGCCAGGGGTTCCCAGGGATGCCTCCATCCCCACCTCCGAATCCGTCTGGGTGCCACGGCTCACCAAGGAGGGGCTGCACGGGGGTGGCAGTCCTGGGGGGGCTGCAGGGCTGCTGAGGAGACAGGGAATCAGCCCGATGCCCGCTGAGCCCCGGGAGGAGGAAGAGGGGGTGACGACAGGCATACCTGGCCCTGGTGGGAGCTGCGGGGCCCGGGTCCTGCAGGGAGGCGGGGGGCGCCTGCAGCCGAAGCAGGCGCAGGGCTTCGGCCAGGGCGGCCTTCCCCAGCTCCATCTCCTTCTCCTGCACCTGGAGCCGCTGGCTCAGGGCCTGCAGGGCCTGCTGAGCGGGGCCCTCGCCTGGGAAAGGGGAAGGCGCGCTCAGAGGCCCCGCACCCGGGAAGCTGGCGGCTTCTCTCTCCCCGCAGCTTTGCATGGGTGCAGGACTGCGGCCCGAGGG